TTGAGACTATAGAATACTCTTGCAGTAAAAAATTTCAGGATGGGCAGATGGAATTACTCAAGCTTGACAGATAGCCTGAAGTCTGTAGTCAATATCCCCACTCTTGGAATTAAAAAAGGATCCTTGGGATCTTTCATATCAGAGGTTGTTTGGGCCTTCAATCATTCCAAGGCAACCAAGGTCCTGGGGAAAACAACAACAACTTAGTTAAGCAAAAGGGGACTTAATGACTCATATACGTGGGAAGTCTAGAGGTAAAACTAAGGTGGGCGTGATTGGGTGCAGGGGCTTAAACAATGCCAGGGTTCTCTTTTCCAGCATCCATGTAATCAAATCTCCGCGGACAAATTGGTCCTGCTTGGATCATGTACCCTTTGCTGGGCCATTACTAATAAAGAGAGAAGAAGATATTTAAATTGGGAAGTCAGTCATAGGCAAAGCCTACCACATGCCTATCCATATTTGGAGGAAGGTAAGATCAACCTCACCCAAACCAAGTGAATGGATTCTCCTCAAGGGGCATATGTCACCACATGGAGTGACAAAGGCCATACCCTGACAATGTTGAAATTTACCTGAGCCCTGTGCTACTGGAATACCGCTGCTGCCATTCACACCTCCCCTCACCCTTTGTGTTCCAGGAAATGTCTCATTGCAAAGAATCTTACCCCTGTGATTCCCTGATTCCTTGTCTACTTAGGATAACCAGACACAAACTCTCTAAATTTCCCTCCTTTGTCTCCTAAATAATTAGCTGAATCATTTGTTCCACTGACCAAGCTGAACAAAAGGTCCACTGACTTAACTTGTTAAACTTCAGTCAGACTTTTCTTCATTCTCCCGAACACTTGGTCCTGGAACTTGACCTACCTTTGAGTATAGGGTTACATTGGAGATACTACAGGTTCACGTCCAGACTATGGTAATAAGGTCAATAGAGTGAGTCATAATCTTTATGCTGGTGAAGGGTGTTGCCTTCAATTTGTTTAAAAGAAAAAAAAAAAAAGCAACAGCTGTGGAATGCAATAGAGGTGCAACGAAACGAGGTACACCCGTTTTAGAACAAGGAACAACCCCTTTTTAACCACCACCTCTTAGCACACCTCAGGGGAAAAATTTCTTGTTTAGCTTCCTAATCCGACCTACTCATCCCAATCCACCACACCTGGCTCTTCCCATCCTTCTTTCCTCCTTCTTCATCTGCCTGACCTTTGAGATGCTTGCAGATCAGAGAATTCTCCTTATTGGTAGTCCCTACTCCTCATTGCAATATAATAGAATCTCTCCTTACCTCAGTCTGGATTTGTTTTTTATTTATTTATTTATTTATTTATTTATTTATTTTCACTCAGGTACATTTAATCTTCTAGGATCCTGACCAGAGACAAAGAGGGTCTGGAACAAGCATGTCAAACTCGTGGGCAGCGGGCATGCTTGTTCTAGATCCCTGGAAAGCTCAACTGCTGCAGTGGGGCCAAGCGCCAAGACACAAGAGGGCCACTGGTCTGGGGCTCTGCTGCCTGCTTCCTCAGGAATTCTGCTTTCCCCCCCTCTTTTCTGAGTCTAGATGCTCTTACCAGACTCCCTAGTCACTCCCACAGTAAGAGATGCACGTTTACCCAAGCAGGCATGGCTCAGTGGTTGAGCATCAACCTATGAAGGAGGTCATGGGTCAATTCCAGGTCAGGGCACAAGCCCAGGTTGTGGGCTCAATCCCCAGGGGAGAGTTGTGCAGAAGGCAGCCAATCAATGATTCTCTCTCATCATTGATGTTTCTGTCTCTCCCTCTCCAAAATCAATTCATATATATATATATATATATATATATAGTTGCATTTATTTGTAATCTAAATTTAAAAATGTAAAGAACATAAAACAAGGTTGGGGGGAAAATTCCTTTGTGAGAACTTCAGACAAATAAGTGAGTATATTCAGAAAAGGCTGTGCTAGGACACTTAGGAGAATATAGAGTAAAACACTGCAACTTAAAAAAAAAAAAAAGATGGGCACTGTTATGTAAGAAAAAATGTATATCCACTATCAACACAAAACACATTTGGTTTGAATAATTTGTACATCCTCAGAGACATTCTCTCTCTAAGGAATCTATCCACTTAGGAAATTACTTCCTAGAACTTGTAGTAAAAAATGAAATGGCCTTATCTATCACATTTGCTCTGAGGGGAAAATTGTGTGCTTTAGATAAAACATTACAGTGACCAAAATACCTCCCATCTGTCAACTTTATATTCCTCTCATTTAGTTTCACATCATGCACTTTGGCAAGATTCATGGGAGAAAAGCAGACAAGAACCTATTTTTACCATTGTTGAAAGTATGCCAACTTGGCAAGGGGGTGGGACAATGGGCACTCTCATACACAGAAAGAGTATAAATTGGTCCAGCCTTTCTGGAAGGTAATTGGCAATATAGAGGATATAAAAAATTTAAATATGAATATCCTTTGGCCCAAAAATTCAACTTCTGGGAATTTATCCCAGTGGACGAATTGGACAAATATGCAAAGACATAAAGGACCTCCACAAAGCATTGTTTACAATAAGGAGGAGTTGGAAGCCAGCTAAATATTTTATTGCTAGTAGACTGATTAAATACCTTATAGTGTATCTATATATATATATATATATATATATATATATATATATATATATATATATATATATATATATATATATATATATATATATATATATTACAATTTAATCAGTCATCTTTTATTTTTCAAACTGGGTTATTGCCTTTTAAATTAATCAGACAGAATCTGAGTTCTAAAAATGAAAAGAACTAGAGTTCCCTTAGTTTATTCCTATGGACCTTCTAAATGATCTTCTCACCACCCCATTTCCCAATCTACTTATCTCCCTTGTTTAGCTTTTTAATTTTTATTTTTTATTTTTCAATGATAGTTGACATTCAGTATTATTTTATATTAGTTTCAGGAATACACTATAGTTGTTAGATAATCATATACTTTACAATGTGATCTCCTAACATTTCAAGTATTCATCTGGTATCATACAGAATTATTACAATATTATTGACCACAAGAGGCCCAGTGCATGGAATTCATGCACGGGAGGTGTCCCTCAGCCCAGCCTCCACCCTCTCCAATCCAGGATCCCTCAGGGGATGTCTAACTGCCATCTCACAATCCGGGACCACTGGCTCCTAATCGCTCACCTGCCTGCCTGATTACCTCTAACTACCTGATTACCTCTAATCACTCTGCCTCAGCCCCCACCACTGTGGCTTTGTCCAGAAGGAAGTAGAATGTCCGGAAGATACCTGGTCGACCTGGTCTAATTAGCATATAACCCTTTTATTAGTATAGATACTCCCTATGCTATACTTCACATTCCTGTGACTATTTTATACCTATTAATTTGTACTTCTAAGTCCCTTTACCTTTTTTTAAAAAAATATATTTTATTGATTTTTTACAGAGAAGAAGGGAAAGGGATAGAAAGCCAGAAACATCGATGAGAGAGAAACATCAACCAGCTGCCTCCTGCACACCCCCCACCAGGGATGTGCCCGCAACCAATTTGCATGCCCTTGACTGGAATATTTATGATTTATAAATATTTATAATTATAAATTATATTTATAAACCCAGAACCTTATAGTCTGCAGACCGACGCTCTATCCACTGAGCCAAACTGGTCTCGGACCTTTACCTTTTTCATTGAGTCCCCCAGCCCTTCTCCCCTCAGTGCAGTGTTTTGTGGTAAATTAGAATAGCCATGTATATAATGGTTTCTTGGTATCCAAGCAATTGGTTCTAGGACCTTCTTTGGATACAAAATCCTTGGATGCTCAAGTCCCATTTATAAAATATGGCATAGTATGTGCATAGAACCTACACATGTCCTACCATATACTAGGTCACCTCCAGATTACTTACAATGCCTAATATATTGTAAACTAGAGGCCCAGTGCACGAAATTCGTGTATGGGGCGTGTCCCTCAGCCCACCCTACATCCTCTCAAATCCAGGACTGCTGGCTCCCAACTACTTGTGTGCCTGCCTTCTTGATTGTCCCTAACCACTCCCCTGCCAGCCCAATTGATGCCTAACTGCTCCTCTGCCAGCCTGTTTGCTTCTAACTGTCTTCCCCTATAGGCCTGGTCCTCCCCCCGAGCCCCCAACTACTCTCCCCTGCAGGCCTGAGTCCCCCCCAACTGCCCTTCCCTGCAGGCCTGGTCACCTACAACTTCCCTCCTCTGCCAGCTTTGTCTCTCCTAACTGTTCTCCCCTGCAGGCTTGATTGTCCCCAACTGCCCTCCCTTGCATGCCTGGTCCCTCCCAACTGCCATCTCCTGCAGGCCATCTTGTGGTGGCCATCTTGTGTCCACATGGGGGCAGCCATCTTGTGTGATGATCTATTTGTATATTACTCTTTTATTAGATAGGATGTTATGTAAATAGTTGTTATACTGTATTTTGGAAATAATTACAGGAAAAAAGGTCTGTACATATTCAGTACAAATGCAACCATCATAGGCCTAACTACACAGTACAGGTCCACAACACATAACTCCTTCCCCCCAAATATTTTTGATCCACAGTTGGTTGAATCCACCGATATGGTACTCCAACTATACATATGTCTATTGCTAAGGAAAGATTATAAAATAGCATGTAGAATCTGGTTGTAGAAAGTTTCTACATGGATAGGAAAAAGCCTGGAAGAATGTGTAGCAAAATAATGTTTTTACCCCTGGGCTGTGCAGTTCCAAGTGATTTTTAGTTTTTTAATGTTTTTTGAAAATATAGCATAAGCATGTATCACTTAAGTCATAAATTATGTGTGTTCTGGCTTGAAAAAATTAAAACATATCAACTTAAAAACAATTGTTTCAGGAGAAAATATTTATAAATCATATATGTAATAAGCCATTATTAATATCCAGAATATATAAAGATTTGCAACTGAACAACAAAACCACAAACAACCCAATTAAAAAATGGACAAAGAGTGCTCGCTTTGGCAGCACATATACCAGAATTGGAATGACACAGAAAAGAGTAGCATGGCCGCTGCACAAGGACGCGTTATTATTATTTTAATGGACAAAAAAACTTGAATATGCAGTTCTCCAAAGAAGATACAAAAATGGACAATAAGCACATCTACCTTATGGCATCTTCCATTCTCTGACAATTTCCCTCCCACCACCAAGAGAAAAATAAAGCAAACACTGCCCCACCTCCTCCTTTTCACTGCCCAAAGCCTCTTTCTTCTTCAGTTGAAATACCTCTTTGTTCTAGAAAGAGAAAGGAAGGGCATTCTTTGTGTTGTTATATGCAAGGGGCTCTCACGTTTGCACTGGCCACATTTTTACTGATTAACCCACTACCCTCTGCCTGTGGAGCATAGAGAGCCACATGCCACCAGGACTCTGGAGGGCCAGGCCTGTGCCTCCCTCCTTAGGTGAATGGGCATACAAACACATCTTTGATTTTTCAAGGCCAGTGCTCAGAGGCTCATGGATCGGACTTTAGAGCTAGAAGGGTCTTTGAAAAATATCAGCCTCGTTGCCTTCATTTTTCCATCAAGTTCAAGGGCATTAAGTGATCTGGCCAAGAATATAGTCTATTGGGTGTAGAAATCTCCACCATTAAATTTAGAAATAATGAAGACCTCTCTTTTTTGGTTGGTTGTTTTCAATCCCTGCTTTACGTATCATCAGGGGAGAAGTGAAGAAAGAAAAAGATTCTCAAGTTAGTCATTCTTGTTCACAACCTGGATGTAAGGTTTTTGTGGTGAAGGAAGTTGAAATTCATGACTAACATGAATAGATTTTTTAAAAAATATTTTATTATTAATTTTTTACAGAGAGGAAGGGAGATGAATAGAGAGTTAGAAACATTGATGAGAGAGAAACATCAATCAGCTGCCTCCTGCACATCCCTGGGGATGTGCCTGCAACCAAGGTACTTGCCCTTGACCAGAATCAAACCTGGGACCTCTGAGTCTGCAGGTCAACACTCTATCCACTGAGCCAAACCGGTTTCGGCATGAATAGTTTTTTGTTTTTTTTTTAACTTTTCATTTTTTTAAGTATATTTTTATTGATTTTAGAGAGGAATGAAGAGGGAGAGAAAGAGAGAGAAGCATAAATATTAAGAGAGAGTAATTGATTGGCTGCCTCCTGCACACCCCACACAGCGGATAGAGCCTGCAACCCAGGTATGTGCCCCTATGGGGAATTGAAATGTGACCTCCTGGTTCATAAGTCAATGCTCAACCCCTAAGCCACACCAACTGCACTAAAATAAGTAGTTTTTAAAAACTCAATATTTGCTAAGTACTCTGGATATGTAAGTTTACAGAATTTAGCATATACTGCAATTAGCTGCATGTTCAGAATGGTTAAGAACTATGGATAACACAGCAAAACAGACAGCTGACAAAGAATTTAATTTCTGAAAATGATCAGTCACAAAATTCAACATGTCACACTAAATATTTCCAGTCTCAGATTTGGAAAATTGAGTCTTACTTGCTTTGGATCACTTGCAGCCATCCATATGATTCATGTTTCTAAGGTCTTAAAAATGTGGGAGAAACAGAACCTAAAAGGTGTTGTTTGTCTCGGAGATGTATACATCTGAAAACAAGTGAGACCGAGTCTTCTGGGGAAGAGGTAGGGCAGAGGTTAGGGAGTGACATACCTCACACAAAGACGAGGGACTTTGACATCAGACACACCCGAGTTTGAATTATACCTGTACTGCTTTGCAAACGCTGAGATCTTAAGCAAATGATTAGTTTATAAAAATTCCCTTTATTGAGATATAACTTATATACATTATGATGCACCTATTTAAGTGTAGATGTCAATGAGTTTCGACAAATTTATACACGGGTGTATCATACACACAATCAAGATACAGAGCACGTTCCTTGGACCCTTTCCCAGTCAATTCCCTGGACTCACCGGCCCATGGCAACCAGGACCTGCTTTCTGTCACTATTCATTAATTTACTCATCTTTAACAAACACGTATTGAGCAACTGCTATGTGTTAGGCATAGTTGTAGTGGCTGGGGTATGGTAGTGAATAAGAGACAAAAATAGCTGCCATTTTACATAGAGGGAATTAGAAAGCTAACACAATGTATGAAAAAATATGTGGGTGGTCACATGGTGATAACGGCACAAAACCAGGGAAAGTGATTGGGAGACCCTGGTGGGGGTGGGCACATGCTGCTCTTTTCAGTAGGGTAGTCAGGGATCTTATCATGGGTGAGGTGATGTTTAAGCAAAGATCTGAGGGAGGTGCGGGCACCAGCAATATGGGTAGTAGGATAAGAATGCTCTAGGAAGGAAGAACGGCAAGTGCAAAGACCCCGGTGGCAAGTGTTGCTGGAATGTTTGAAAGACTGCAAAGAATGTGGCCCTAACTGGTTTGGCTCAGTGGATAGAGCGTTGGCCTGTGGACTCAAAGGTCCCGGGTACGATTCCAGCCAAGGGCATGTACCTTGTTTGCAGGCACATCCCCAGTAGGAGGTGAACAGGAGGCAGCTAATTGATGTTTCTCCCTCATCAATGTTTCTAACTCTCTATCCCTCTCTCTTCCTCTCTGTAAAAAACCAATAAAATATATTTAAGAAAAAAAGAAAAAGAAAAGAATGCAATGTGGTTGTCGTAAAGGGATGAGATGGAGAAAAGATCAGAGAAGTACAAAGGTCCAGGTAGGATAAGGCCTTACAGCCCCTGTGAAAACTGCCTTTTAATCTTAGTGTAATAGGGAGCCGTTGCAGGGTTTTAGGCAGAGGTGTGACATCACTTGACCCGCTTAAGAGGATTAGTCTGGCCTCTCTGTTGGGAATTGACTGTAGGGGGCCTCTTTGAGAATTAATGTAGTGCCTACATAGTAAATGCACTTTATCTCTTTGGGAGTTATTGATTTCTAAGTACAAATAAGACTATGAACTTTTTGTTTCTTTGTTTCTATATATGCCAATACATATGAATTCATTTACTTAAACATTTGTGGTGCATGGCTATACTAGATGCTAGGGAATAAACAACATAAAGCTGCCAGCTGGTGTGGCTCGGTGGCTGAGCATCATCCTATGAACCTGGAGGTCGTTGTTCGATTCTGGTCAGAGCACATCCCCAGGTTGTGGGCTCAGTCGCCAACGGGGAGTGTGAAAGAGGCAGCCTATCGATGATTCTCTCTGTCATTGATGTTTTTATTCTCTCCCTCTTCCTGCCTCTCTAAAATCAACTTGAAAAATATATTGCTGAAAATTTGTAGAAACAAAAAGAAAAATGGTACAAGGAATGGGGTAAAGAGGAAACTAGAAAGTTGCTGTTTAGTGGGTACAGAGTTTCAGTTGCGCAAGATGGGAAGTCCTGGGAATCTGTAACAATGTAAATATACTTCACTGGACTGGACACTTAGAAATGGTTAAGATTTTTTAAAAAAATGGTTAAGCAATGTTAAAATATGTACACAGATAATAATTTAATAAATAAAAAAAAGAACAAAAAAATGGTTAAGATGGTAAATTTTGTTAGTGTTTTTTTAAATCTACACTTTAAAAATATTTACTATATATTTTTATTTTTTAAAATATATTTTATTGAGTTTTTTATAGAGAGGAGGAGAGGGATAGAGAGTCAGAAACATGAATGAGAGAGAAATATCAATCAGCTGCCTCTTGCACACCCCCCCCCACCAGGGATGTGCCCACAACCAAGGTACATGCCCTTGACCGTAATCAAATCTGGGACCCTTCAATCCGCAGGCTGACACTCTATCCACTGAGCCAAACTGGTTTCAGCTTAATTACATATATAAAAAAATATATATGACCATTGTAGGGAAAACAAAGTAACAAGAGAAATATTAGGTAGAAATAAGTACTTATGATGAAAAAATAATGATGATGTGCTATAACTGAAAGGTTACTTTAACTTAAAAATTAAGACTACTAAAAAAAAGTATGACCCTACCTACAGAAATATATATTTAGGTGTCTGCTGCCTGGCTGGACCCTACTCACTTACAAGCAGTCCTAATATGTAAACATTCAGGGTCCATAACGACTGACCGAAGGCTCAATCGAACGCCGGAAGTCAGTCCTGCAGTCAGTGCTGGGTTGCTGTGACTGACTGCTGAGGGGGCTGCGGATCATGCCCTTAAAGAGGCCTGAAGAGAGAGGCAGGGTCTGATCCACAACTTCTGTGGCAGCTGTTGATCAGTTGTTGCCTCTCTCTTTCTCTCCAGGTCTCCATGGGGGCTGCTGATTAGCCCACCTCTCTTATCAAGCCCTGAGATAGGCCCGGAGACACTGACTGGCATAGAAACTGACCAATCACAACCAAATCTGAGTGAACTGTGAGGAGCCAATAGCTGCCTAGGAGGTGAAGCTTTTGATGCTAACTGGTATAGAAATCGACCAATCAGAACCAAATTGGCTGGCAGGGGAGAGTAGTTGGGGGCGAGATCAGGCCTGCCAGGGAGGGCAGTTGGGAGCAAGCTCAGGCAGGCACCAGAGAGCAGTTGGGGGAAAGACCAGGCCGGAAGGGGAGGGCAGTTAAGGTGATCAGGCAGGCAGGCAGAGGCAGTTAGGGGTGATCAGGCATTTCATTTTTGTACTTTTCTGTACTGTTTGGATGATTTAAATAACAAGAATAAGAAATTTCCCTAAAAAAATAAAGCTATTTTAAAAATTAAAACTCAACAATATATTGTAGCTCTGCTATATGAGTTTATAAATAGAAAGTGCTTAGAACATATCTAGAACACAGTAAGTGCTAAGTAAGTCTTGGCTGTTATTATTTTGCTTGTGACTATGTGGCAGGCTCTGCTTTAATTATTTTACAAGTATTTTCTCCCTTAATCCTTACAGGTACTACAGATACTGAGACATAGACAGGTTATGCCCAAGATCACACAGTTAAGTAGGGTCACCATATTTTACAGACAAAGATCTTTTAGCACTTTTAACATAAACTATTATTGGAAATGCCTGGTCCTAAATTTGTATACAAAGACACATTACTGAGGATATTCTCAACTGATACTATAAATATGTAACTGCTTTATATGATTCAGAGAATTACT